CACAGGGACCCACACACATGCACACACACACAGGGACCCACACACATGCACACACACACAGGGACCCACACACATGCACACACAGACACAGACACAGACCCACACATATGCACACACACAGTCCCCCACACACACAGACAGTCCCACACACAGGGACCCACACACATGCACACACACAGTCACACACACACACACAGACACAGTCACACACACATGCACACACACACACAGTCCCCCCCACACACAGACAGTCCCACACACAGGGACACCCCCCCCCCCCCCCCCCCCCACACACACACACACACATATGCACACCCACACACAGGGACCCACACACATGCACACACACAGAGACAGACACACATGCACACACACAGTCCCACACACAGTCCCCCCCCCCCTCCCCCATACACACACACAGTGACCCACACACAAGCACACATACAGACAGACACACACACATACAGAGACACACCCACACACAGAGACAGACAGACACGCAGACAGACAGACACACACACAGAGACACACACACACATATGGTAAGTCTTCATGGAGTTGAATTGGCTGTCCTATGATCATCACTACATAAACTACATCGTGTTGCCAAGGCAACACCAAAAGTAAAACATCTGAACCAGATAGCAGTTCATGATCAATCAATCAGTTATGTCATACCTGTGGCTGCTTGTTACAGGTAGGGCGATAAATCCTACAGATGGACATCCCACTCAGTTCCTGGTCTGGGGACTAGCCAGGGGCCAACAGCCTACAATAGATCTGTGTCACAGATGACCTGGCACTGACAATTGCTCCATAAACAGGTGCTGCTTGCATCAGGACTTAATGCACACATAATAAACCTGTCACTTGGCCAACATTTTCGACATACTTTGGTCAAGTTTGACAGCATCAAAAGCCACCAACAATATGGTAAACATGATTTTATTTGTTTGAATTTTCTTGTTCACTTTGGCTGAAAATAGATAAGTAAAGTCCATCGATGGGTTTATCAATTACGAGACAAACAAATACTTTGTCATCAATGTAGAACTAGGTTACCTGTAGATTTAATGGCTCCATATTGAACTTGGAACAAAACACGCAGAGTGAGGTTTCAAATGTTAAATTCTACCATGACAGCGACCCACCCACCCACACACAAACACACACACACACACACAAACACACACACACACACACACACACACACACACACACACACACACACACACACACACACACACACACACACACACACCACACACACACACACACACACACACACACACACGGGAATAAAACGGGAACTCTTTAGTGTTAGCAAATATATTGAGTGAAGCGGCATGGGTTGAGTCCAGTGTTTTGAGTGGGTTGTCGATCTTAATTACGGAATCACCGACAACAGCCTTAAAACAAAATATGAAACACTATATGCTCAAGCAGTTTGTTTACACAGTAATACTTTACTCAAACATATGACTCATTGAAAGCATGTAGCCTGGCAACTTGGTAAGCTGACATGAGGTGGGCACCACAAAAGAAAACTAAGCAAGTCTTACAAAGGTATCTTTCTCCACCGCACATCGTAATTATGACGTCATATCGCTCATTGTGACGCAAAAGATATAACGTCACAGTGGTATATAGGAAAGCACCAAATAGCAAGCTCTCTGTTGTCCTCAAAACTTGAAATTTTATCTTTGTTGATTTCTATCGTGTTTTCTAAACAAAATGTATTACCACGCATCCTTTGAATATTGTAGTGACTGCAACTTTGCATTTAGTAGCCTATAATTGTACACATATTTATTTAAATATGCCTGCCAACAATGACTGTAAAGGAAGTACTATACTAAAAATATTAGCTTCCACGGTGATTTGGCTGTCAAATCGGCGGTTTCAATCAGAGGGGTTTATTGTGATTTGATACCTCTAATTGACCAATCAAAAAAGAGTATTTTCCAAATTCATAGTTGAATATATTATAGTGATGCTTTGAACAGTTTTTCATTTGCATCACTGAGGCATGGGTAGCACAGTTGACAAAGGTGCCACAATTCGCTGTACAGCGCAGCATCCCAAACACCTGAAACCTATGATCGTGGGTTTGAATCTCGGTTCACCCTGATTATGTTTCTAGGTTTGTCAGCACCACACTGTGCTCGTGGGTTTCACCAAAGTGGTAAACGTCTGAGACCTGCTTCACTTAGGGCTTTTCGAGTCACCTAGATGACACGCCATGATATACATTAAATACTTTTCAAACAGTGTTAAATGCAACTCTTTACTCATTCAATTATAGGGGCGGTCGGGTAGCATAGTGGTTAAAGCGCTCGCTCGTCACGCCGAAGACCCGGGTTCGATTCCCGACATGGGTACAATGTGTGAAGCCCATTTCTGGTGTCCCCCGCCGTGATATTGCTGGAATATTGCTAAAAGCGGCGTAAAACCAAACTCACTCGCTCACTCATTCAATTATATCAGTGTCAGCTATATGTGGGAGAAAAGTCCCAAAATGAGGCAGTCACAGAGGTTTACCACTTTGGTGAGACCCATGGGTACCGGTACTGACAATCCAAGGATCACAGTCAGGCCAAATCTGGCTTTGAACCTATGACCTGTTGATCCTAAAGCAAAGGGACGCAACTCTGCACAGAGACTCATCAGACCACTACATCTGTGAGTGAGTTTTGTTTTACGCCGCTTTTAGCAATATTCCAGCAATATCACGGCAGGGGACACCGGAAATGGGCTTCACACATTGTACCCATGTCGGGAATCGAACCCGGGTCTTCGGTGTGACGATCGAACACTTTAACCACCAGGCTACCCGACCGCCCACTACATCTGTGCCACTTGACCAAGAATATACAAGTGATGAATAAAATGTATATAACTATATGAAGTCCTCAAAACCTCTTGAGCAAACATCGCTGCATTATGAATGAAAAAAAGAAATTATTTTAACTTATGTCAAAAACACAAAAATACATACACATGCATCAGGCACATTAAAAAATGAAATCTTTAATTCTTTTGAAATTACCCTGCATGTACCTTTATCTTTAATTTCAAGTAAATCCTGCCCCTGTTTGTGTGATTACAGATACAAAAAATAGATAAAACAAGACATTACTAGTCAAGCCTTGGCAGAACTCTGTACAATCTGTTGTCAAAATAAGGATATTTCATAAGTGAGTGAGTGAGTAAGGTTTTATGCCGCTTTTAGCAATATTCCAGCAATATCACGGCAGGGAACACCAGAAATGGGCTTCACACATTGTACCCACGTCGGGAATCGAACCCGGGTCTTCGGCATGATGAGCGAACGCTTTAACCACTATGCTACCCGTCGCCTGTACATTCCATGAGAAATAGTATTCCACTTTTTGGAAAACAGTATTCCACAAGTGTAGATGATTAAATGGATCAGACCTTACTTTATTTTTGCTTGGAAAATTTTGGATAATGGATCGGCTGACCTTGACAATTCTTTAAAAAAATACAAGCAGAATAACAAAGTTTTTTATACTGCCAGCAGTAAAGATGGCTTTCACAATAAAAATGATAAAGAAATGACAGTTAGATTTTAGATTAATAACATTTAAAAGGACCCATAGATTATTTTATTTTTTGTCACCTACCAATCCTAATCAAACTCTATGATGGATAAAAAAATCCTGAACAATGCATTTAACATGTTTAAATTGTATTTTTAACCTACTGACCAAATGTTTCATAATCAAAATCTAACCCCCCAAAAAACAACACAACAACTAAAAACAACAACAAACAAACAAAACAAACGTCTGGTCTCATTTGGGGAGGGTAGCCATGACAATTAGGGCAATCCTACAAGTCTATGCTTGTCTGCTACCTCAAGTGTTATCTTAAAACATGGAGACAAGCCTCAGTTCTACACAAGGCACTAATTACAGTGTCCAGACCTATGCTGAAAATCCACAGGGCCAGGAGGCCATTAAGATCCATATGTCAAACAGAGCTGTCAGTCTCCATTGTGACAAACAATAGTAAATTACAAATTACATAACCCTGACATATTCTGTCACATCTGATTACCTTCAATGTATCTCTTTTAGCGGTCTCAATCAAACACAGAATTTTCTACAAAATGACGTGAATAAATATTGTCATTATTAAAAGAATTCAAAGGACAATTTTATGCATCATGTCAGGACCTGGATGAATACATATACCAATGATAATTATTGGCCAGCTGTTCGGTGCTGAAACAGATTGGATGCCTGGATTGCAGTGAGGATATTAAAGGATGGTATTGATAAAGTACAAGCATGATTAATAACATAATGATGCAGACATCATCTGTTGGATGACAACATTTGTTCAAAAATATATGATTAGTTTCGTCTATGAGCAATATATTTCATTAAGCTGTTCGTCCTAATGCTTGATGGTGATATGTACTGTTTAACATACTATGACATCCCAACCATTCTTACTTTAAAAACTTGCGTGACTATCATTCAATGAACCCGGTACTAATTGTTTCTTTAGTAACAGGATTATTTTTCTGTATATACCAGTACATGTATCTTTTAGTGAACAGAAAACAGTTCTATATGTGCATAAAATTAATCATAGAGATATGATTTTTCTACTGCAAAATGCAAAAAATATGCTCCAAATATGTCCATTTTCTGCTTCATCAAAAAATGCTTTTTCATTTTTTAATACTCCTACCTATTTCTGTAAAATGATTTTTCTTTTTTTTATGAAATAGATATGAGTAGTTCTGATAACACTTGTTTAATAAAATTGCAACTGTGGTATTTTTTTTAAACACTATAATAAAATTGCATAAAATTATATGTTAGATGATATCTGGCTAGATATTTTGGGGGGTATATCTTTTACAATCACACCGTGTCTGATGGACCTCATCGACGCGATAGAAATACCCAAATAGGGCCCCTGTACATCTTTAGCCATGAAGGTAAGAAAGTCAAGTAAAGGGACCGGTTCGGTAAAACCGAAGATGTTTACATTCGGCTGGTGACAAAATTCAAGTTCTTTATCGCCCAACGTTTCTAAAATTCTGTAATTGTCACATACCGTACCATAATAACATATTCGTGAAATATATGTTGTCAGTTTTTTCTCTGCAGTAAGTCAGCATTTGAGGCCAACATGTAGGCTTTCTGAGCGGAAGTCGCTTGTAGCATCCATGAACGAATGATCCACTGTGTTCTGTGTGATAACAGCACGCGCCAAAAATGGAAGAGTTTGTGAAAAATTTGATCAAGGAATCCGACTTGAGGTTAGTATTTGAAGATACTTGGCTTTTCAGATGTATTAATAAATGAAACAGTTTCCATAAGATTTCACTCTGTAACGAAATGACGTGACAAGTCAGCGATCGTGACAAGCGCAGCATATCACAACATTGATTCTAAAGCATGGCAAACATCTCGCAGTCATATGGTCGAATGTAAATATTGCCCGATAAGAACATCAACGATCGATGTCAACATTTATCTGAATGAATATAACTATTACAAAATTGTGAAACCTGAGAAGTCTTCAATTTCAATACATGTGTACAGTGTACTGTCATAATTATGCTAAAATATGATTGTTGAGAGTGTCAGGAAGACCGTGTAATTAGTTTTCCTGTATTCCTATGTTTTTCGTGATTAGAATAATTTAGGAAGTCATCTCCTATCCAAATGCATCATTATTGCGAATTTGCACAGCCAAATTACCCTGAAGTTGTATGAACTCAGTCAAGTGTGTCTGTACCAACTGGCTGCTTCGTGTATCCGATTAAATGTTTTTATACCTAATATGATACATAACTGTAGAGATGCACACATTTCTTGCCACTATGATGTAGCAGGGATCTGCCGAAACCAGGTTTCAGGGCTGTTCATTTTCTAGGACATTGTCATCCAAAATGTCCTCTTGTCCACGTCTAGTTAAAACCATCTTGTTTGTTATTTCTGAAATATCAGGGTTAGAAACTAACAGTTTTTGTCCACTAGTCCTTATAATGATAACATATAGCAAAACCCTTGAAATTGACCAATTTCTACTAGTCCTTAGGATACCTTTACTGTTGGGCAGTTTGGTAAGGACTACAGGACTAGTGCCAATTTCTAACACTGAATATTCTGTGTATAAAACTGACGGTACCCAAACTCTGATTTTTGTGAATCTGTGAACAAGTCACTTGTTTCTCTATGTGGAAAACTTGTGACTCGATGTCTGTTATTGCTTGACAAGAGGGCTTCAAAACGGTGGAAATACAACTTTCCTGTCAACTGACCTTACAGTTATCGACATCGTCTAAACAGCACATGCCACATGATCATTTGCACTCTTTTGTATATACAGATTGCATTGATTATTGTCACATTCAAATATTTTATTCATTAAAATGAAAAAGAATAGCTTTTATCAAGTTGTCCTCTGTCAATGGACGTAAACCAATATTCCCCATATTCAGTCGACACATTCTCATCTATCACACTATGTTCTATGGATTTAAGATATGTTCAGGTTATGCGTTTTTTTTAAGTTGCTCACTTGGGTTTTAAAATCATATTTTTGGGAAGAAGTGAGAGATTGTAAGCAATGACAACTAATTTTGCATCATTGTATTGTTGGATCTTTGTTTACACATGAATTAGTCATATGACCTCCCCAATTTTGATCATTTTTGGATAATTAATTCTCTATTCTAATGAAAATAGGCAAATGTAAACAAGTGATCATACGCATGCTATAATGTGGGTTTGGCAATAACGGGTCACTAGCCAGTTTACGTATTTTTCAAATTTGGTAGAGATATAGTTATACGTGTATTATCAAAAGTTGATAAAGGCATAAACATATCCTTTTGCCGTTTGTCTCAAAATCCTGTGCCAAGATATGTATCCTGTAAGCCTAACAGGATAGACCGCCTCCATGGTCTAGTGGTAGAGCGTCCGCCCGGAGAGCGGAAGGTCCAGGGTTCGATCCCTGGCCGCGTCATACCAAAAGACGTTAAAAAATGGTACTTGTTGTTACCCTGTCTGGCGGTTGGCATTAAGGGGCTAAAACAAGGACTGGTCGGCTCGGAGTCAGTATACTGTGTCTGAGTGGGGTATTCATGTTAAACTGCGGCATGGTATCTCAGTGAGCTAGCACTATAAATCGGCATCAGTCCGGACTAGTACAAGCAGCCACACAAACACACACATACATGCACATCGCTATATAAGTGCAATAATCTTGGACGCGACGTTAAACCCCATTTCACCTCACCTCACCTAACAGGATATAGCCGCAGATCAACATCACAATTACCAGGGCTCGAAATAAACATAGGTCCACTGGTCCAAAACTTACAATTCAGGAAGGACCAGTGACCTTTCCTTGTAGACTTCAGCTTTCACAATGAGATTGAAGACAACTCTATTGCAGATCCATTTTGCTTACTAGAAATATATGTAGATATCATCACTTGTTCAATTCCATACCTTGCAAGGCAGTCTTCCTAAGATACCAAGATCTGGCATTCAAAATTATGTCATTTTAGAATAGAATGAAACGTTAAAGTCAGAAACTAAGAATGATTGTGTGATATATTTCCGATTTTTGCAAGTGTGCTTGTTAGCTATTTTTAATGCTGATTAGTCCGTTTAAGCCATATGCTTACATAAAGCTTCATTGTTGAAAAAAATATGTGATGTCATTCATTGTTGATGACGTCACAAACTAATAGCGCCACGTCATCTGAACAATAGACTGCCTTCGGTGAAGTTTGTCTGTAGGGTCACGGACCTAAGGTCCGTTGTAGGGTTGACATTCCATACATTTTTTTCATTTTCTCTTCTAGTGAGTGAGTGAGTATGGTTTTATGCTGCTTTTAGCAATATTTCAGCAATATCACAGCGGGGGACACCAGAAATGGGCTTCACACATTGTCCCCAATGTCGGGAATCGAACCCGGGTCTTCGGCGTGACGAGCAAACGCTTCAACCACTATGCTACCCGACCACCCCCTTTCTCCTATATAATGTCAATGTGTAATATATAGAATAACCTACTCAAAATTCGCAGCTACAGCTTATCTATCCCTCGTGAATGAATGCTGTAAGTCCAGTGCAAAAGGCTCAGGATTACCACCACTCATTCACTCGGGACAGATAATCCTTAATTCCTTATAGCTTGTTTGTTATTCTCTAATTAGTCCGGTCTCTATTTAACTATTTTTGTTTGTCACCCTGATGTAACATTGATAAAGCTCATGGGGTCATTGTCGGCACAGGTACTTGCGTACTGCAGGAACATTTTCGTTCACAATCATGTAGCCAGCAGAATCTTGTTATACAAATAGGTAACTCTGGTTCCCCAAACAGTATCACTAGATATGCTGCTGTTAAAGATTCTCATACAAAATGCACCTTTAGAATACAGTACCACAACTTCTCGTGAGGACGATCTCTGCCGTAGGTCACACGTCTCGAGACAAGCAACCAGTTTTTGTAAGAATCCGTCGGACGCGAACCCGCGACTTTCGGATTGTTAGCCTGACAGCTAACTGACTGAGCTACGTCCACACTGTTAAACTTGGTGCAAATTTACCTAGTCATGCCTATGACGTTACGGAACTGAACGAAAAGGGTCGAATAGGTGACGGACGCTTACGAAGGTTACGGGTAGGCATTGTGTCTCGTGACTTTAGTCTACGGACACTTACGAATGATCCCGATGCCATTTGGCACACTCGTCCCATTCCGTAATCTACAAGATACCAAGTGGTGAGGAATGAGCTGATATGCCGCGAACTGAAAACGGCGTCAGACGTCGCACTCGCGAGTACGCATGAATGACATGGTATTTAATAATTCGTCAGGTGATTTTTGTGACAGAAAAGTGTGGTAGGGAACACTGTAGGATGATGTGGATAATAGTAAGGAACGAGGATGGAATAAACATGACTAGTGACGACACAACAGTGAGTTCGCTTGTGAATCAGTACTGAAAAAATGTAGCCGGTGAAAGTGGCTTGTGTGAATGTTCCAGGACAGTTTCCAGTAGCCAAAATATTCGACACAAAACCATTTCATCCTTTTTACTCGACGTTTTAGTGTGAAGAATATTAGGAGCCGCTATATAATCTATAATAGCCACTGAACGAGTACCTAACCCCAATGATCGTAAAGGGGTGATTAATCGTAAAGGGGATCCCCAATGATCGTAAAGGGGTGATTTATCGTAAAGGGGATCCAAGGGTTAAGGATAGAGTTCGGGGTAACCTACCCTAACACTGGCGACATTTGGATGTGTTCCTAATAAACTGCATTCTTGTGCATAATAATGAAAATTAATGAACCAAAAAAATAATATATGTATATTAGTTCCCATTAATAACCATTTTATCTACTTCAATTACGAGAAAAACGAAATAAAAAATATATAAAAAATAAAAGTGCTTTCGTAAACTAGCGTTTGCTCTAAAATGCGCCACTGCAGGCTATAGCTAGCTCAGCTAAATTATAACAAAAAAATCTACTGAAAATGATTGCAAGAGTCTAGTTCGGGCTTGTTGACTCCATTGTTGTTGGCAACACATGTACAATATAGATTCGTTTATTGCAGTATATGCTGGGGTGTGTGATTCCTCTGCCCTGCTGCATGGAACAAACCCTGATATGGATTTACCTTCGCTTACGTTGGATTTCACGAAGAAACATTTGTTCAAATAACTGCTATGGCTAACATTGACCATAACTTACAACATAGCCCCAGGATCATAAAAGGCATCTTCCTGAGGCAAGGGAGTTAAATGACTGTAAAAGTCCAGTTTTCACCCTTGCCGAGCTGGGCTTGAATTTCTGGGCTTGATTTCTAGCGCCACCAGTGCTGTTGCTAGTTATGTCCCTTCTATGTCCCTCTTTTTGACCAATCAGATTCCACCTCTCATATCACATGCATTTGCTTAAAAAAAATTGTCGGTGCCCAGTCAAGATCATCTGATCGATAATCAAAATCTGTATTGTTATAAAACCGGTCTTACTTTGTGAAGTGTATCAAATCAGGAGAGCACCTTGGCCAAAACATGAAAAGATTTGGAAAATATCTGTTGACGCTGACTTGACCGTACACGTTTTGCAAATCCTGCTATTGACCAAACTCTGCATGGCAATTTACGTACCTGACGTAAATTTTGTTGCACGATTTTAATTTGACTATGCACAGACTCGTTAGTCCAGCCAAAATGTAACTCTATATTATCAATAAGATATCCATGAGCTAGCACAGGTTTGCTGGGTTCAGGATAGAGTGGGAGTTGTCTCCCTTGTTTTGCTCTCCTTGAGTAAAAGAGGGTTGTCGTGAATATAATTGATGCATGTTATCGGTGGCCCAATATTGAATATTCCTACTTTCAAGTAGGTTATTCCACATACAGTAAACTGTATTTATAACTAAATACTTATAAAGAACTGACGGATATAACAAACTTCTTTTTCTATTTGCTGTATATATGCTTATAACGAACTACGGTTATAACAAACTAAAGTTAGTGGTCCCTTTGAGTTTGTTGTAACCGTGGCTTACTGTAGCACACATTGACATGTTAAGAGAAAATAAAAACAATGTTTGAAGTGTCAACCCTGTAGAGAAACGTCACCGAAGGCAGCCTAATGTTCACATGACGTGATGTAATAAATCAGTGATGTTATGAACAATGGATGACGTCATATCATTTTTCTCAACAAAAGAGTACTGTGACATATTAGGGCTTCAACTGACCAATCAGCAATTGTGTCCCTTGCTTAATAGGTATGAATGAGATTCTTAGATTTATCCCAACGTCAAGTCAAATACAGGATACTACTGTCTTAATATGTAGAAATCCTAATTCCAAGTTTTTTGGTTGAATAATTTTGTTATAGCAGGTAAATGTGTTATGTAGGAATTTTAAGCTTCTTTTGGCACATTAAAATTCACATTCACAGCTGTCAATCATATTAATATTAGACATGAGACTGTAATTAATTTGATGCCATGAAATTAGCATGATTGTATATTCACAGTACATTAAACGTGTTAAATAACAGATTTGGTAATAAAAATATTTCTATGCTATGCGACGACACATCAACTCATCGAGACAGGGCCTACAGAGATTCATTTCAGATTTCAAACTAGTGCCCTAGGCAGGCGATTTGGGGAAAAAATGATTTCAAAATCTTAATTTCAGAATTGTTGACATACAATAAAATAATGTAAGTAAGCTTTAAAGTCTCTTCCTCTATATATTGGTCCTGTTATGAATAAAATACAAATCAACTCGTCAAAAACACAAGTTACGAGTGGAATGCTATAAAAGGGTACATTTTTTAATTTTATAATTTTATAATTTTAACTGAAATTGTTCTGTAGACTGAGTGGGTTTATGAATCTCAGCAGATTCATAAATCTATAAGATAATAATGGTCAGTTCCAATATTTGTCCTGCATCTATATCAGACATGCTAGAATGAAAGAAATATGACTTGACTCAGGTTTACGGCTGGTGGCTAATGTCACAGACTGTGATAGCTGTGTGCTTGAATACTGGTATACATTGACAACTGACCGGTGGAGATCTGGGTTCTACAGGGTCTACAGGTCTACAGGTCTACAGCAACCCATACTTACAAGGCGACTATTCTTGTCGTAAAAGGCAACTAATGGGATCGGGTGGTCAGGCGCGCTGACTTGGTTGATGCATGTCATCAATCCCAATTGCGTGGATCGATGCTCATGACATCAATCACTTGATTGTCTGGGCCAGACTATTATTTACCGACCACTGTCATATAGCTGAAATATTGCAGAGTGTGGCGTTAAACAACAAACCAACCAACATAGACAAACAACAGATTCTCTGCCATGTTTATTTTGAAGACGTTGACTGAAGCCATATCTGTCACAATTTTTATAAGTTATAGCAGTAAAAAGTACTGTAGAAAATAACTGATGCTTTTGATGGTAAACATCAAGAAACTTGTGTTTTAAGACGTTGTAGGTATTATTATCATTAGCATGATGAGCAAAATCCTATTTAATTTTTTTTTTTTAAATTCCTACATTCTAAGTTGTGTTTTTGTTTTGATGAGTCAGACCCAGAATTTGAGCTCGATTGACATGATTGAAAATGTGGATAATTTGCCTGTATTTTTGTTAATTTCTTTGGCGAGACTTCTTTGGCAATATGTTGTCCTTCTTTTGTCTCCGTGCTTGTTGTATATTGACCATGAAAATCTGTAAAAGTTGTTTTGTAAAGCAAGATATTAATATTGTATTAATATTGGTCTGGTTTTATAATTTCTATATATTCGCCACCTGGTTCCCTTAAACAGATGGAAAAGACCTTTATGAATATGTTTTTCAGAAAAGGAATTCTTCTCAGTTATTGCATTTGAGTCAAGTACCGGTTGTAATGATCACTGATCAATAACAAGCATTAAATTCTGTGCATCAATATTCCTGCAAAGCTTGCTCACATTAGCATGATGCTGTATGACAATCCTGTGTTATTGACAAGCAGCGTTGTTCAATCCGGCCTTGTACTTCACCATGATCAATACTGACAAGCAATCACAGGATGAGTAGCAGTACGATTTTCTGCATTGTTAGTGTGAGACTTTTCTTGAAATTTCGGAAAGGCTGTCTTATTAAGAAACTGTACAAAAGGCTGTTGTATTAAGAAACTGTACAGAAGGCTGTTGTATTAAGAAACTGTACAGAAGGCTGTCTTATTAAGAAACTGTACAAAAGGCTGTTGTATTAAGAAACTGTACAGAAGGCTGTTGTATTAAGAAACTGTACAAAAGGCTGTCATATTAAGAAACTGTACGGAAGGCTGTGGTATTAAGAAACTGTACAGAAGGCTATGGTATTAAGAAACTGTACGGAAGGCTGTGGTATTAAGAAACTGTACAGAAGGCTGTGGTATTAAGAAACTGTACAGAAGGCTGTTGTATTAAGAAACTGTACAAAAGGCTGTCGTATTGAGAAACTGTACAGAAGGCTGTGGTATTAAGAAACTACGGAAGGCTGTGGTATTAAGAAACTGCATGGAAGGCTGTGGTATTAAGAAACTGTACAGAAGGCTGTGGTATTAAGAAACTGTACGGAAGGCTGTGGTATTAAGAAACTGTACAGAAGGCTGTTGTATTAAGAAACTATGGAAGGCTGTGGTATTAAGAAACTGTATGGAAGGCTGTGGTATTAAGAAACTGTACGGAAGGCTGTGGTATTAAGAAACTGTACGGAAGGCTGTGGTATTAAGAAACTGTACAGAAGGCTGTGGTATTAAGAAACTTTACAGAAGGCTGTGGTATTAAGAAACTGTACGGAAGGCTGTGGTATTAAGAAACTGTACGGAAGGCTGTGGTATTAAGAAACTGTATAGAAGGCTGTGGTATTAAGAAACTGTACGGAAGGCTGTTGTATTAAGAAACTGTACGGAAGGCTGTGGTATTAAGAAACTGTACGGAAGGCTGTTGTATTAAGAAACTGTACGAAAGGCTGTGGTATTAAGAAACTGTATGGAAGGCTGTGGTATTAAGAAACAGTACAGAAGGCTGTCTTATTAAGAAACTGTACAGAAGGCTGTTGTATTAAGAAACTGTACAGAAGGCTGTTGTATTAAGAACGTATTAATCGTATTGGTCGTATTAATTGTCTGGTCCTGATTCAATTATGATTTTCCCCAATTTGCATGACAAGGGGCATTGAGTTTGGTATTCTTGATAAATCCCTGGATATAGAGAAAGAATGTTCTGAGTTGTTCCACTCACTATCACACTATCCGTGTGAGATGACTGGTATATCATCGTGTTTCTGCTTCTGTCAGCACTGAACATAAGAGTTCTCCTCAAACCATGTGCCTGACACGCTATGCTCGTCGTAAGATGTGACTAACGGGATCGGGTGGTCAGGCTTGCTGACTTGGTTGATGCATGTCATCGATCCCAATTGCGTGGATCGATGCTCGTGATATTAATCAATGGATTGCCTGGTCCAGACTCGATTATTTACAGACCGCTGTCATATAGCTGGAAATTTTGCTTTGAAACCTCTGATTATCCAAGTAGACTATACCCGTGAAGATCCAGGTTAGAATAGGTCTTCAGCAAATCATGCTTGCTGTAAAAAGCGACTATGCTTGTCGTAAAAGGCGACTAACGGGATCGGGTGGTCAGACTCACTGACTTGGTTGATGCATGTCATCGATCCCAATTGGGTGGATCAAAGCTCATGATGTCAACAATCACTGGTTGTCTGGTCAATTATCGATTATTTACAGACCGTCGTGACATAGCTGGAATATTGCTGAGTGTGGCATTAAACAACAAACAAACAAACCCGTGAAGATCCGGGGTAGAATAGGGTAGAATAGGTCTTCAGCAACCCATGCTTGCCGTAAAAGGCGACTATGCTTGTCGTAAAAGGCAACTAATGGGATCGGGTGGTCAGGCTCTCTGACTTGGTTGATACATGTCATCGATCCCAATTGCGTGGATCGATGCTCATGATATCAATCACTGGATTGTCTTGTCCAGACTCGATTATTTACAGACCGCCGTCATATAGCTGGAATATTGCTGAGTGCGACCTTAAACAACAAACCAAACTACCCATGGTTTATGGTGCCACCTCTGTGTTGCAGTGTCCTGACCACCAAGGGGGTGAGGAAGGCGTACGAGAAGCACACCAAGAAGCAGCTGTCACATGAGGAGAAGCAGAAGCTCAAGGAACTGGTCAGCTGTGTGCTGGACGAACTCTTCACCCAGGGGGATCCCACACGGACAGAGGTAAGGGGAGATGGGCATGTGGGAGGAAGGGTTGGGTGGAGTAGAGGAGGAAGGGGTGGGTGGAGCAGATGTGGGTGGGGAGAGGAGGGAGGGGTGGGTGGGGAGAGGAGGAAGGGGTGGGTGGAGCAGAGGGAGGGGTGGAGCAGAGGTGGGAGGGGTGGGTGGGTAGAGGAGGGAGGGGTGGATGGAGCAGAGGATGGAGGGGTGTGTGGAGCAGAGGAGGGAGGGGTGGGTGGGTAGAGGAGGGAGGGGTGGATGGAGCAGAGGATGGAGGGGTGTGTGGAGCAAAGGAGGAAGGGGTGGGTGGGGAGAGGAGGGAGGGGTGGGTGGGGAGAGGAGGGAGGGGTGTGTGGAGCAGAGGAGGGAGGGGTGGGTGGAGCAGAGGATGGAGGGGTGTGTGGAGCAAAGGAGGGAGGGGTAGGTGGGGAGAGGAGGGAGGGGTGGGTGGAGCAGAGGAGGGAGGGGTGTGTGGAGCAGAGGAGGGAGGGGTGGGTGGGGAGAGGAGGGAGGGGTGGGTGGAGCAGAGGAGGGAGGGGTGGGTGGAGCAGAGGAGGGAGGGTCGGGTGGAGCAGAGGAGGGAGGGGTGGGTGGAGCAGAGGAGGGAGGGGTGTGTGGAGCAGAGGAGGGAGGGGTGTGTGGAGCAAAGGAGGGAGGGGTGGGTGGGGAGAGGAGGGAGGGTCGGGTGGAGCAGAGGTGGGAGGGGTGGGTGGAGAGAGGAGGAAGGGTGGATGGGGAGAGGAAGGGGGTTGGTGGAGCAGAAGAGGAAGGGGTGTGTGGAGCAGAGGAGACATGCGGACCCATGATAGTGTCATGAAATATACAATATGCATTTTTCTTGACCTTGCCCTTGATTTCTGTTGTATTTTTGTTTCAGAACAAAGACAAGTCATCCAGAAAATCGTCTGTTAAGAAAACAGAAGCCCGGACTCTGCCCAGAAGAAAATCGGAAACTAACGATGGTAGCAAACTGTTAAGTCCAACCGACATCTCTGACAGTAATTCAAAGGTTGGTGAATGTGGTAAATCTCCAAAAAAGGAGAAAAAGACATTTCCAAAGCCTGCTGATAATGACGACGAAACTGAGGAGGACAGCAATTCAGGACATCAGAACGAGAATGATGAAGACTTTGAGATCCAGTCCACGGAAAGCAATGAAAGTGGTCATTCCAAGTCAGTTCCATTGAAGCTAGAAAAACAAACGTCTAAGGGCAGAAAAAAAATCGACTTTGACAATGAACAGAAAGAACAAACCAGTCAAGATAAAATAAGTTTGGTGCCCAAACGTAGGTCAGTCTCACCCCGTAAACAGACCCCACAAAATTCTTCTAAACCTTCACCAGCCAAGAAAATGAGCTCTGATAATCAGAACACATCACAAAGAAAAAAAGTGAACTCGCAAGGAAAATCTGACAAGTCTACACCAACAAAGAAATTTACACCAGTGAACAAGACACGAAAGAGGCTGAGCATCAGTGAGGTGATGACAGCCATGATGGACTCCGATAAAGATGGAGGGTCAGATGCACTATTGGCTTCGGAGTCAGACAGCGATGTGGGGATGATTGTGCCGAAGAAAACAAATCGAAAGCGGAAAGCCATTCAGTCTGAGGACGAAGACTCCGATGTGGAGAATACACGTCCTAAGAAAAAGTCAGTTCAGAAGCCAGCATCCAAGAAACAGAAAGTTTTTAGTGAAGATGAACTGAGTGATTCCGATGATGATCGTCTGCAGATTGATATCGAGGTCAGTACACCACAGGAACAAAGAAAGACATCACGATCATGTAAGAGAAAAAGCTATGCCTTGTCATCTGATTCTGAGAGTGAGCTTGAGTCCACATCTAGTAGGGTTGAGTCGGTGTCCAGCAAGATCTCTGATGCTGCTTCTGAAGATAGCGGGGTCAATGTAGACCTGAGCAAACACTCAGCCATCGTTGAGGCGGAACTCCACAAGACTGTCAAGCCATCCACAAAAACTAGGACCTCACCGAGGAAGGAGAAGAAGAAGGAGGCGAAGGAAGAGGTAAAGAAGATGATTCATGAGGAGACTGTCCTGCAGGTGACGAGTCTGGATTCAACAGATGATGAGGACGATGATGGAAGAAATTGTCCGAGTTTGACATCAAGTGGCAAGTATCGCAGGCGATCTGGTATCCGGAAGAATTCCCTGAATGTTTCTGAGGTCTTGGAAGATATTGAGAGGGAAAAGACTCTTTCATCTTACAAGAAATATGAGAGGAAAGTGAAAGAAATAAACTTTTCAGAACTCTTGAAAGATGTTGATGATGAGACGCCAGGATTCTCATCGGATCCTTCTTTGAAAGAAAAGTCTGTGTTTTCGATATCAGAAACGGAGAGTGATAACACCATTCGTAAGAATAGGCGAGGATTATTCCAGGAATTTGAACAGAGAAATATTGCAAAGATCCTGGAAGGTGAGAGTTTTGATGTGAAGACCTGTACCGTTGTACTGGAGCGAGTTGATGATCAGATTGACTGGATGCGTATGGCTAGCAGGAGGACAGATGCATTAGAAAAGAAGACAAATGCATCAGAAAAGATGACAAATGCATCAGAAAAGATGACAAATGCATCAGAAAAGATGACAAATGAATCAGAAAAATTGACAAATGAATCAGAAAAGATGTCCTCTTCAGATTTGGATGATGTGGTCATGTTTTCTCTTGATGAAGTAGATGGAGATGCTTTGTCATCACACCCCATGGTTAAGAAGTTGAAGAAAGTTGGAAATGGAAAATCTCGCCAAAGTTCAACTCCATGTAGCCAAAAGGTCACCAAGTTGAACAAATTTGATTCTTTCGATTCTGAGGACAACATACCTCTGAAGCCCTCAGGAGGTCAAGCAAAGAACAATGATAATGCTCCCATATCTGAGGAGGAACTGTCAGTTAAGAAAAAATCTGTCGAGAAACCACCTGTTAAGAAAAAGAAAAGAAAACGGAAATATAGGCAGGTTGGTTATGAGACTGACAGTCCTGTTATTAAGAAAAATGCAAAGGCGATGAAAATCTCTGATGGTGAGCATAAACCACTGAAGCTGGTGATCAAGAGAAAAGGCAGTGGCATCGAGGACGACTCTGAAGGAGCAAGGAGATGGACTGTGGCCCAGAAACACCACAGCGATTCCTCCGATTCTGAGTTTGAATCCGACGATGAGAAGTCTCTGAAAAAAATTGTTAATGGAAGTAGTGTTGAAGGTAGTTACGAAAGAGTGTTGCCCATAAGAATTGGATTAAATAATTCCGGTGGTGATGGTTTGGGTGTTCAGATTAAGGATGTACCCAAAGGGAAGAGTAGGATAAGAAAAATGTCAAAGAAATCTAAACGAAAAGAGAAACAGTTGGATATGTCGGTGTCAGAAGAGGAGGTTTTCAGGAACAGGAAAGCCAAGAAACAGGCTAAAATTGATAGCGATAGTGAATATGAAATAAGTCCAGTTGTGGTGGAGTCAGATGACAGTGTTAGTGATGATAATCATCCGAAACCAACGAGGGTTTCTCCGCGGAAGAGTGTGAGTGAGTTGGATGTCAGTCCTACCAGGTCTACACGTAGCAGAACTTTTTCAGAAGATGGTGTAAATGAGTCAAGCTTAAGTCTCATGAAGTCAGTTAGTCCTACAAAGTCAAAACGAAGTCCGTCAAAAAAGGCGGGAAAAACGAAAACGTCAAAGAGTCCGTCAGATTCAGAGGAGGAAATTCATGAAATCAGTGAAGCAGAGTCAGACCGTGCTTCCCATGAGGACGGTGTCAGGAGTTTAGACTTGTTGATCTTGGGGAAAAAACATTCAAAGTCAAAGAAACAATCAAAAGTCAAATCAAGCAGTGTGTCTTCAAGGTCAAGTAGTGTGTCAAGGGGAGGGAACTCTGATATTAACAGTGGTGGAGAGTCTGACGTCAGCAGCATTATTCAAACACAAGGTAGTGTTATAAACTCCATACAGGGGGACAGTGATGCGAGCTCTCATGTCAGTTCTAAAAACAATGAAGTGTGGAGAACTGGGCTCTCTACACCAAAGCAAGGATCAGCATTAGAGGTGGGTTGACAAAACGGTGTTAATGGATATTGTAAAATGAAACGGTGTTTTTGCTGGAATTTGATTGGTTGATAACTTTGTTAAATGGGATTTGCTCATGGAAATCTTTCACTGCATATGAATGCTTGGTAAGTAGAGTTGTGACGATACAGAAATTTCACGATACAATACGTAGCATGACACAGTCAGTAGTAAGAGGTTTCTCTGAGGAAATTTGTTTCTTGGTTTTACAATTCCTAGAAAGCGACAAAGTCCTTCATTCTTATCAATCCAAAACGGCCTTGATAATATATATGTCAAGGCAGGTGTGATTTGGTTCAGCACAAGGCCTGCAGGCTATCAATTTTCGAGAATATTGGAAAAGTTTGACTGAAATTGTATTCGTATTTCTATGCCCATCTGTGACCTCACTGGAGAACATCCAGACAGATGAGCTGATGTTGTGTAATGGTGACAATTGTTCCACACAGCTTGCTTGAAACTTTTGTTATATCTTTGCACAGCAGAAAATATTGCCAAACACGGCTTTTGAAATTCCGCTTCAACGGCCATTTTGTCAGACTTGTTTGCTGTAAGATTTGTCATGGCATTCCTGCCTTGATGTCATGACATTCCTGCCTTGATGTCATGACATTCCTGCCTCGATGTCATGACATTCCTGCCTCGATGTCATGGCATTCCTGTCTCGATGTAATGACATTCCTGCCTCGATGTCATGACATTCCTGCCTCGATGTCATGACATTCCTGCCTCGATGTCATGACATTCCTGCCTCCTGCCTCGATGTCATGACATTCCTGCCTCGATGTTATGACATTCCTGCCTCGATGTCATGACATTCCTACCTTGATGTCATGACATTCCTGCCTCGATGTCATGGCATTCCTGCCTTGATGTCATGACATTCCTGCCTCGATGTCATGGCAATCCTGCCTTGATGTCATGACATTCCTGCCTCGATGTCATGACATTCCTGCCTCGATGTCATGGCATTCCTGCCTCGATGTCATGACATTCCTGCCTCGATGTCATGGTATTCCGGAGAGACGTTATACCTGTCTCACATCAGCTTCACATGAAGAGAGAGTACAATGGAAAATTGTTTGTACTTTTCTTTTTCAATAACACCCTCAGATCTGAAAACATAAAACTGTTTATCTCCACATGCTTGCATGACATCTGTTGTCATGGTTATATGTGTGCACAAGCTGTAACCATGGAAATAGTTAGGAAAGGAAATATGTTAGCATCAAGTATATTGAGAAAGTCAAATATAGTCTTGACTGATTGCAAAACAGATCATGATCAATGAAGAAAATAGTAATCTCAGAGTGGGAGTCCTGAATAGACAGGGGTACCTAGTCCTCCATATTGTCTGTCTGGGAATGTCTATATTAGCACAAAGGGGCACAGTCATCTAAGACTCTATACTCTGCTGTGAAGAGTTGCTTCCCTTAGCAAGGTTTCAGATCAGTTGCCTTCTCGGCATTCATGGACTGTCCAATATTTCATGAAGATGTTTCTAAATTTGGTATTGAAAGAAGAATGTCCATGTGTCTCCAGCAAGTAACTGACCCGAACTGCCAGAATCGATCACTGGTGTACTCAGGTCAATGCGTGCTTAATTGCAGCCTGTTCTGAGTGAGTGAGTGAGATCACAGTGGCAGTCTGGACCAGACAGACCAGTGGTGGATACCATGAGTAATGATATATGATGGCGCACAATCGACTGGGTTACACATGATATGGGATCCTCATTTTAGTTGCCTCTTAAGACAGAACATTGCGATCCATTTAGAAAAGATGTAAGGTGATATTACCATAGATTAGGCGATCATCGTGTGTTCTTTATCCTGCTGATCTGTTTTCGTGGTGCTTCACAGAGAGAGTTGACCGCCGTAGTGGATAGTGTGTCTGCCCAGAGAGCGGAAAGTCAGTGGTTTAATCCCAAGCCATGTCATACCAAAAGACATTAAAAGATGGTTCTTGTTGTTTCCCTGCCTGGCCTTAGGCATTAAGGGGATAAAACAAGGACAGGTCGTGTTAGAGTCAGTATCCTGTGTCTGGGTGGAGTATTCATGTTAAACTGCGGCATGGTATCTCAGAGGACAAGCACTCTAAAATCAACATTAGTCTGGACTAGTACACACTGCCACTCACACGCGTGCACATCGTACGATACAATAATCTTGCAAGTGGTGTTGAACGTTCATCTCACATGGATTGTTGAAACTATTGTATGTGCCATATTATCCTGTTAATTCCATGTCAGGAATAAGTGTGTAATTGTGTGATAAGGAAGAGAATACATGGATGTCAACTTCTTTAATATGAGGATCACAACGTTTCGGAGTATATGCTTACTCCTTCATCTGGTGAATGAATGCCATGAGGCAGAGAGCATATCTATGTACATGTAAGGACAACAAAATTAATAAGATAACAAAAGGTGGAAAATAACAAAGGGTAGAAACTAACAAGGGGAGCCAACAGTGAATGACACTGATAGGTGATAAGCAATAGACAATGGAAGCCAACACTTTACAGTAATTAGCGCTGATAGTATGGAAGCCAGTACTGAAGTATCATAGATAAGTAATAGGTAATGGACACTGGGCAAACGGGAGGCCGGGGGTAATTAGCACTGATAGGTGAAAGAATCAATCTCATTAAAATCAGATCAAGGTTCTCGCTGCCGCTAAACAAAGATCTGAGGACGTCCTATTACGGGTCACATCATAACGACCTTTCGCGAACATCGACCGACTACTGAAATGACAAACAAGAAGTCGACATCAGCCAATTAGAAGGCAGCTTTCTCGAGCTTTACGGCACTTGTTTCAACCTGGCGAATTCAAATTCAGACCTCGCTTGAAAAATATGTTTACACATTTCTTGATTGGGATTTTGAAAATTGAACAAATGAACATTACGAAATGTCTAATATATGGTTGAGATTGTATGGCAGTGCTTCCCACGTTCAAATGTTTATCCCGTGGAAGCGAGAGATTGACGATAATTTTGACGGAATCAGTCGTACGAGTCGTAACTGTCGTTTATAATACCCCGTGTTAACGTTTTCAAGGTTGCATGATTAGAAAACACATTCCAACTGTCACTTTCACGATCTGGTAAGCGACGCTTTGATTGGTCAGATGAAAGGTCGTTCTGACGTGACCCGCAATGGGATGTCCTCAGATCTTTATTCAGCGATAGCGGGAACAAAGAGCTGATTTTAATGAGATTGGTGAAGGAATAGACATAAGGAAAAGGCAAAATTGAAGCCAGCTAGGTGATTAGCACCAACAAAGATCAAAGCAATAAGTCCCAAGCACTAGGCAGATAGGTACATGTACATATATATGCTCTCTGCCTCATAGCATTCATTCACCTGCCATACTCCGAAACGTTGTGTTCGTCATTATAAAGAAGTTGACATCCATATATTCTTCCTTATGTGTATCATTTCTAAATGCCTTTCAAAGACCTAATTGTGTGAGGGGGCACGGATGGCCCAGTCGTCTAAGGCGCTGCGATTCGCTGTGCATAGTTGCGTCCCTTGGGCACGCCAGAAATCTATGATTGTGGGTTCGAATCCCGGTTCGCCCCGATTATGTTTCTAGGTTTGTCAGCACCATACCCGTGCTCGTGGGTTTCACCGAAGTGGTAAACGTCTAAGACCTGCATCACTTGGGGCTTTCCTCCCACATTAAGCTGACACGCCGTGATATAACTGGAATACTGTTAAAAGCGGCGTTAAACCCAACTCACTCACTCACTCACTCACTCACTTACCTAATTGTGTGATGATGCCAAGTTATGTTTTTGTTCTTCCTTCCAGTCTGACAGTGATGATGCCTTGAGTTCAGTGAAACCACCTTCTTTGGTGAGTGGAATTTTGAAAACCATTGGTTATTATTGTTATGGTTTCTTTTGCTGTTGTTTTTGTTTTTTATTTTTTATCAAACATTGTAACTAGATTCTTAAGAAATCCTTTGTGGCAAGGCGATAAACTACTGTGTTGACAAGGCCAGATTTTGTTCGAGAATCGGGAATGAGAGCAAAGTGTTTTCTTGTTTGTTGTTAAACACCACACTCAACAGCCCGCGGGGCGGCCGGGAAGCCTAGTGGTTAAAGCGTTCGCTCGTCACGCCAAAGACCCGGGTTTGATTCCCGACATTGGTACAATGTATGAAGCCCATTTCTGGTGTCCCCCGTCGTGATATTGCTGGAATATAGTGGCGTAAAACCATACCCACTCACTCACTCAACGGTCTGCGACTAGCCTGGAGCCTGAGGCTAGTTAAATTCTGTTTGGTCTTGTAAACAGTCGTCAGGATCACACTACATTCTTCTGAAAACGATAAAGTTTGGGCCTGATTGCTTCAGTATTCAAGCTACATGACGGTGGCTTGTAAATAATCAAGTCTAGACCAGACAGTCTAGTGGTTGATATTATTAGCAACGATCCACACCATCTGAGTATGATGACAAGCAATCAACTAAGTCACCGAGCCTGACCACCCGATCCATTAAGTTGCCTCTTACAATCAGCTTAGGTCACTTTTATCTATTCTAACCAGTCTCAGAATAGAGTTACCTCCCTGGACTTACTGAATCAATGGTCATGATGGCTTGGAGGTTATCATGTCCAGGCCTCAAAGTTGTGACTAAAACGGCCAAAGCGACCTAAATTTCAATTTAGGGGGCTAAGCATCCCCGGCGAAAACTGGTTTTAAATGATTTTGAAACCATCGTAATGGCCTTAGAGAGCATGTATTCTGAAATAACAACAAGTAATTGCACGAAAGGGGAAAGAATGAACCCAGTCTCGCCGTGTTGGTTGCAATCGTGATAAATTGAAAGAGAAAAGCGTTTCAAAATATTTTTATCTACATTTTACATGTAATGCGTGAGAATTTCCCAACCTTGCGTGTGAGCGTGACATAGGTGATAAATGCGTGAGACTCACGCGAGATGCGTGAGAGTTGACAGGTATGGCTTTTTAGTTCTAATTTCTCTAGCAAAGCATTCAGGACAGCTTACTTCGGTATCTCAAAAACGATGAACATGGGCAGTTCTGAATGATGAATAGTAATGGCTGTGCATGTTTTGTATATTTTACACCCTGGGTTTCAGTTGTTTCTTTCTTTCAGCAAATTAAGAATTATTCTCTTGCATTTCTTCTCCTCCAAGGGGAGGCACAGGTGGCCCAGTTGTCTAAGCCGCCGCAGAGTTGCGTCCCTTGGGCAAGCCAGAAACCCATGATTGTGGGTTCGAATCCCGGTTCGCCCTGATTATGTTTCTAGGTTTGTCCGCACCATACTTGTGCTCGTGGGTTTCACCGAAGTGGTAAATGTCTGAGACCTGCATCACTTCGGTCTTTCCTCCCACATTAAGCTGGCACGCCGCGATATGACTAGAATAGTGCTAAAAGCGGTGTTAAACCCAAATTGCACACTCACTCCTCTAAACAGGATAATCTAACTGTAAAGTCATGACTATAGCCACCAGTTTGACAATGAAGCCAAATCGCTTTAAAAAGCTGACCTTTGATTGGCTAAAAACAACAAATCCTTCATTTTGAATGGACAGTAAAACCTAATCAACTTGTATTGGTTTATTGCAGGGGTCAGTGGATGTGAGGTCCGAAGACAGCATGTCTTCATTGGACGCAGTCAGTGCGGAACAGTTGAACAACAAAGCAACCGCCAAGTCCAAGGTAGGAGTTACGAGGGAAGTGCAGAAACACCTTGTGATTCTGTGAAGCTACTGGACAAGACATGGGATGTTTGGAAGTTGTGTTTCATCACCAAAGGGTGTTGTCAGAGACCACATCAACACATACAAGCAGTCTGGAGTCATTTAACATGATTAAACCCACGTGCCAGCAATTACCTTTTGGGCAGAATCCTTACCGTATATAGCAGCAAATTCCACTGATATTATGAAGTGAAAAATATTACAAATTTGTAACACTGCAGTAATAATGTTTATTTGCATCCCCAATCCATCAGTTTGCAACCCATGCTTGCTGTATAAGGCAACAATCCTTGTTGTAAGTGGTGACTAACGGGATCGGGTGGTCAGACTCGCTGACTTGGTTGGTGCATGTCATCGTATCCCAATTGCATGGATCGATGCTCATGATATCAATCACTGGATTGTCTGGTCCAGAATCGATTATTTACAGACTGCTGTCATATAGCTGGAATATTGCCGATGGCGGCGTTAAACAAAAAAAACCCAACCAAACAAACAGTATGTTTGCGACCCGCAAAGATGCGGGGTAGAATAGGGCTTCAGCAACCCATGCTTGCTGTAAAAGGCGACTATGCTTGTTGTAAGAGGCGATTATGGGATCGGGTGGTCAACCATGTTGAGTTGGTTGATGCATGTCATCATATCCCAATTGCATAAAGCGATGCTCATGATATCAATCACTGGATTGTCTGGTCCAGACTCGATTATTTACGGACCGCCATCATATAGGTGGAATACTGCTGAATGTGGTGTTAAACAACAAACAAAAAAACAAACTAACAGTTGTTTGCCATTGTTATCAAGTAAGGGTATAGTGAACCAACATAATTATTGAACATTTTTTCTAAGAAACATACTTGAATATAAATATGAAGCAACTTTAATAGTGGAATTATCTTGGTTATTTCTTTGGTGATTCAGCTGTCTGTATTCAGCTTCTTTTCCTGGCAGTGTGATATTGTGATGTTGCAGAACAAGAGAGGTGACAACTCCCAGCTGACCCAGTTGAGGAAGATCTGTCGCTGTGCTGGCATCTTCCTGCGGAACACCGTGGAGCTCCTGGGGTGCGATACAGATGATTCCAAGATCTACAAGATCAAGGAGATCCTGCGCACCAAGGGGATGCAGGGTGAGGAGGGGATCTGTTGGGGTTGTGATGATCTGTGAGGATGGGATCTGTTGGGGTTGTGATGATCTGTGAGGAGGGGATCTGTCAGGGTTGTGATGATCTGTGAGGAGGGGATCTGTCAAGGTTGTGATGATCTGTGAGGATGGGATCTGTTGGGGTTGTGATGATCTGTGAGGAGGGGATCTGTCAGGGTTGTGATGATCTGTGAGGAGGGGATCTGTCAAGGTTGTGATGATCTGTGAGGAGGGGATCTGTTGGGGTTGTGATGATCTGTTGGGAGGGGATCTGTTGGGATTGTGATGATCTGTGAGGAGGGGATCTGTTGGGGTTGTGATGATCTGTGAGGAGGGGATCTGTTGGGGTTGGGAGGGGACCTGTCAGGGTTGTGATGATCTGTGGGGAGGGGATCTGTCAGGGTTGTGATGATCTGTTGTGAGGGGACCTGTCAGGGTTGTGATGATCTGTTAGGAGGGAAACTGTCAGGGTTGTGATGATCTGTTTAGAGGGGAACTCTCAAGGTTTTGATGATCTGTAGGGAGGGGACCTGTCAGGGTTGTGATGATCTGTGGGGAGGGGACCTGTCAGGGTTGTGACGATCTGTTGTGAGCGGAACTGTCGGGTTTGTGATGATCTGTGGGGAGGGGACCTGTCAGGGTTGTGATGATCTGTAGGGAGAGGAACTGTCAGGGTTGTGATGATCTGTGGGGAGGGGACCTGTCAGGGTTGTGATGATCTGTTGTGAGGGGACCTGTCAGTGTTGTAATGATCTGTAGGGAGAGGAACTTTCAGGGTTGTGATGATCTTTGGGGAGAGGACCTGTCAGGTTTGTGATGATCTGTAGGGAGGGGTCCTTTTGGGGTTGTGATGATCTGTAGGGAGGGGACCTTTTGGGGTTGTGATGATCTGTTGGCAAGGGACCTTTAAAGGTTGTGATGATCTGTAGGGAGGGGACCTTTTGGGGTTGTAATGATCTTTGGTGAGGGGACCTGTCAGGGTCGTGATCTGTAGGGAGGGGACATTTTGGGGTTGTGATGATCTGTAGGGAGGGGATCCTTTGGGGTTGTGATGATCTGTTGGCAAGGGAACTCTAAGGGTTGTGATGATCTGTAGGGAGGGGACCTTTTGGGGTTGTAATGATCTGTGGGGAGGGGACCTGTCAGGGTTGTGATCTGTAGGGAGGGGACATTTTGGGGTTGTGATGATCTGTAGGGAGGGGACCTTTTGGGGTTGTGATGATCTGTGGGGAGGGGACCTGTAGGGAAGGGTCCGGGAGGGGTCCTGTAGGGAAGGGTCCTGTAGGGAAGGGCCTGGGAGGGGTCCTGTGGGGAAGGGTCCTGTAGGGAGGGGTCCTGTGGGGAGGGGTCCTGTATGGAAGGGTCCTGTAGGGAGGGGACCTGTAGGGAGGGGTCCTGTGGGGAAGGGTCCTGTAGGGAGGGGACCTGTAGGGAGGGGTCCTGTAGGGAGGGGTCCTGTGGGGAAGGGTCCTGTAGGGAGGGGACCTGTAGGGAAGGGTCCTGTGGGGAAGGGTCCTGTAGGGAAGGGTCCTGTGGGGAAGGGTCCTGTAGGGAAGGGTCCTGTGGGGAAGGGTCCTGTAGGGAGGGGACCTGTGGGGAAGGGTCCTGTAGGGAGGGGTCCTGTGGGGAAGGGTCCTGTAGGGAGGGGTCCTGTTGGTAAGGGTCCTGTAGGGAAGGGTCCTGTAGGGAGGGGTCCTGTTGGTAAGGGTCCTGTAGGGAAGGGTCCTGTGTGGAAGGGTCCTGTAGGGAAGGGTCCTGTGGGGAAGGGTCCTGTGGGGAAGGGTCCTGTAGGGAAGGGTCCTGTAGGGAGGGGTCCTGTGGGGAAGGGTCCTGTAGGGAGGGGACCTGTAGGGAGGGGTTCTGTGGGGAAGGGTCCTGTAGGGAGGGGACCTGTGGGGAAGGGACCTGTGGGGAGGGGTCCTGTGGGGAAGGGTCCTGTAGGGAGGGGTCCTGTTGGTAAGGGTCCTGTAGGGAGGGGTCCTGTTGGGGTTGTGATGATCCCGACATGGGTACCTTGTATGAAGCCCATTTCTGGTGTCCACTGCCGGGATATTGCTGGAATATTGGCGTAAAACCATACTCAATCACAAACTGTAGGCGGGGGCCTGTCAGGGTTGTGGTGATTTATATACACTACTCAAAAAGAAGTTAAAGAACTCCAAGTTCTTCCCTATTTCTATATTTAATCTGTCAGGGTATTACTTTAACTATAGTATTATATGTACATATGTAGGTATAAATGTATGTTTATAGGGAGACATGGTTACATTGTTTTACATGTGTGTTCCCCCTCCAGGTGCCCCTAGTATGAAGAAGGCTGAGATTTTGAAGCTGAAGAAAGAGGCAGCTGAGCTTGACACGGACAACATCATTTCCGACTCCGGTAGGTGGCTGCATCCGAGGATCTGTTCCCCTCATGGGTACAATTTGTGAAGCCCATTTAGGGGATCCCCGCTGTAATACGGCTGGTATGTTGCTCAAAGAGGCGACCGCCTCCGTGGTCTAGTGGTAGAGCGTCCGCCCGGAGAGCGGAAGGTCCAGGGTTCGATCCCTGGTCGCGTCATACCAAAAGATGTTAAAAGATGGTACTTGTTGTTACCCTGGCTGGCGCTCGGCATTAAGGGGCTAAAACAAGGACTGGTCGGCTGGGAGTCAGTATACTGTGTCTGAGTGGGGCAATCATGTTAAACTGCGGCATGGTATCTCAGTGAGCTAGCACTATAAATTGGCATCAGTCTGGACTAGTACAAGCAGCCACACAAACACACACACGTACATGCATGTCGCTATATAAGTGCAATAATCTTGGACGCGACGTTAAACCCCATTTCACCTCACCTCACCTCACCTCAAAAAGGCATTAAACCATACCCACTCCAACTTACTCCAACAGCATCTATTTCAGGTCGCGCTCCGAGACGGAAGGTTCAGAGTCGCTACAAGAAGCGTGGCCTGACCCCGAGTCCATCTCCCCAAAAGAAGATGACTCCCCTGAAGATGAGGCTAGCCGGACTGAAGGGCATCATCGACAGTGAAGGATCCGACAGCGACTGAACAGGAAGATTGTAGAACTTCATGGTATCCATGGCAACCAGACATGGCAGACAAGCATCATCATGAATCATCATGAATCATCATGAATCACCTACCCCAGACTCCCAAGACTCCACAGCTCCACAGCTCCACTGGGCTAGGCATCATTGTTTTCACATGAGGAATCGGATCTCTTGGATGAGATTATCTCAATATTGAGATGCTGATTCTTCTTCGGAAATTGTCAGCTCTAATGATCTTCCTCCAGAATTGTCAGCTCTAATGATCTTCCTCCAGAATTGTCAGCTAATGATCTTCCTCCAGAATTGTCAGCTAATGATCTTCCTAACTCCTTCCATGTAACCTTGTATTTACATACATGATACAGTATGAAATGAAGTCATTATTGTGAATACCTTACAACCGTTTAGATGTGGGTGTTCTGTGATAATAGGACTGATGACGAACTGCACAGGAGGCCTATGCCTGTTCTATAACATGATCTTAGTGCTATGACTGTCGTCAGTCTAGGAATAGTAATTCACGCTTGTCAGTTTGTCAAATCTGAGAAAAGTTACATGCATTCTGTTCAAAGCAGTGTTAAATCAAACTCACTGATTTAAAAGAATGGCGGAACTGTCTCTTACCCAGACCCTAATTGCAGCATAGGGGTGTCATAGCTGCTGTACTCAAGTAGTATTTTCTATGCCCAAGCATTGACTTACAACAGTCAGAGCTCCAATCCTTTAAAACAGACTTACGACAGTCAGAGCTCCAATCCTTTAAGACAGACTTACGACAGTCACAGCTCCAATCCTTTAAAAGAGACTTATGACAGTCAGAGCTCCAATCCTTTAAAAGAGACTTACGACAGTCAGAGCTCCAATCCTTTAAAACAGACTTACGACAGTCAGAGCTCCAATCCTTTAAACAGACTTACGACAGTCAGAGCTCCAATTCTTTGAGACAGACTTACGACAGTCAGAGCGCCAGTCCTTTAAAACAGACTTACGACAGTCAGAGCTCCAATCCTTTAAAACAGACTTACGACAGTCAGAGCTCCAATCCTTTAAAACAGACTTACGACAGTCAGAGCTCCAATCCCACAGTTCAACACATTTTATTTATGCAGGCAAACTGCGGCAAATTCCGGTGAACTTCCAGTGGCAAGTGTTACTGCTGGCTGAACATGGCACACATGACTTTGTTTTACCTCATATCTCTTTACACAGAGCTGATCACCATGGAGACAAAGTACAGGGTGTGACCAAAGTCCAGTCACCGCTATGAAGGAAAAAGTCCATGAGAAATTAAATAGGATCGATGATATCTTAATTTGGACTATAAAATTAGAGCAAACTGACAGATATGCAGGCAAGGTATGTTGATGATGAGGCTAGATCTGTATCGCGATTGAGGCTAGATATATAGAGATTGAAGCTAGATTTGGGAGATTTACCTGCTGGTGCTGAGGCTATATATGAAGCTAGACTGAAGCTAGAAATTGTTACTGAGGCCATCATCCAGAGGCAAGGGAGTTAACTGACTATAAAAGCCCAGTTTCCAGCCTTGCCGAACTAGGCTGGACTAACGAGTCTATGCATAGTCCTCGCTGTGCAGAGTTGCGTCCCTTGGGCAGAGTTGCGTCCCTTGGGCACGCCAGAAACCTGTGATTGTGGGTTCGAATCCCGGTTCGCCCTGATTATGTTTCTAGGTTTGTCAGCACCATAACTGTGCTTGTGGGTTTCACCAAAGTGGTAAACGTCTGAGACCTGCATCACTTCGGGCTTTCCTCCCACATTAAGCTGACACGTTGCGATATAAATGAAATACTGTTAAAAGCGGCGTTAAACCCAACTCACTCACTCACTCACTATGCATAGTCAAATCAAAATCTCGGAACAAAATCAACATTCCATTCATAAACAACATGGAGACTGCTGTACCGATTGCAGGACTTGCAGAGCATGTGCACCGTCAAATGGGCGTCAACAGATGTTTTCCATATCTTTTCATGTTTTTAATCAAGGTGCTCAAGTGATTTGATGCACTTTGTTAGATAACAACTATTATATTACATAAAAGATTTTGATTATGGATCAGATTGTCTTCACTAGGCACAGCCATTTTGTTTGAATCAAATGCAAGTGATATAAAGAGATAGAGGTGCGAGATATTACCGGTATACCGGGATATACCAGGATATGAAATACTAATGAACACGTACCACAATATGTTTGGCAAATACCAGTATGTTGCGTTTTTCAAAGTCATGCATATCAGCTTGTTGGAAGATTTTACACTTGTGTCAACTCAAATGGAAATGAAGAACTTAGCAACTTTTGCCTGTTGTCGAAACAGTGAAACTATTTGTTTCCTGTATGTGATGTGTCTATTACGCATGCTTTGTCACCATAGCAACATCCAACAAAATACGAAGTTGTCAAAAATGTGATGGGGGAGTCAGTGTGTTCAGGTTCATAACAAATTACAGATGAAAGAACACATGCAATATATTGTGGTACGTATCGCAAATCATGAATTATTATTACAATTAATTGCAATACAAAATTCACGGAAATACCCATCACTATGAAGAGGTGGAATCTGATTGGTCAGTCGGAGTGATGTAGAAGGGACATAACTTGTAATCGCCACTGGTGGCGCTACGATCGAGCAACTAAATTACAGCCCAGTTCGGCAAGGGTGGAAACTGGACTTTTACTGTCAGTTAACTCCCTTGCCTCAGGAAGATGACTAAGGATAGATCAGCTGGCGGAGGTACACAGACTGAGGCTTTATAGCTCACGATATATGTAACAAGACTGAGGTTAGATGTGCTGGTACTGAGGCTAGATGTATGCAGAATGAGGCTAGATCTGCTTTAACTGAGACTAGATCTGCTTTAACTGAAGCTGGATCTGCTTTAACTGAGGCCATTATATACTAATACTGAGGCTACATATGACAAGACTGAAGCTAGATTCCTGACTGCGACGCTGTGAGTTGTTTGTAAAGTTATCCTATGTATCATCGGTCACACCAGGTCACACCAGGTCACGTTTACATTTGTCACGTTTTACATTGATATACTTTTTATGTTGCCATGACGACACTCGTTTGTCTCAGGACAGCCCACTGAAGTCAGTAAATGTAATTGGCTAGATAGTTTTGTTGTGAAGTCACCATGTTATATTATTGTACATACATGCATGGCCATTTTTAACATGTATATTTATACAAAAATAGGCAAAAAGCAAAATATGTGTTCCTTTGAATGTTGGTGGATATTATTTTTATTTTTATTTTTTTTAAACATTTTCTGAAAATGGCATAACCATTTATCCTGCTGCTTAGATTGGCCATTGTGGACTTGCCTATCCATATTTTGTTGTGTTGTTACCCTGGGATGCTAGGATTCCAACATGAAAGGTCCTCAGCTCTCCATTGCTGGTTGTTAAAGGTTGTCTTTTTGGGGGTCTTTTTTTTTTTTTTTTTTTTTTTTTTGGTTTAACGCCTCACTCAACAATATTCCATCTATATGACGGTGGTCTCAAAATAATCGAGTCTGGACCAGACAATTCAGTGATTGACATCATGAGCATCGATCCACGCAATTGGGATATGATGACATGAATTAACCAAGTCAGCGAGCCTGACTACCCCATCCTGTTAGTCGCCTCTTACGACAAACATAGTCGCCTTTTACAGCAAGCATGGGTTGCTGATGACCTGTTCTACCCCGGATCTTCACAGGTCTTGAAGGTAGTCAGACTGGCAATGGCTATAGACAGGCCTCCACGATACTGCTGCAATATTGGTACCTGCAGCTTAAAGAGCAAACAAACAGTCACCAGATGAACATCTGGCACCAATCTCTTTGAGAACAATATTTGAATGATGTTATATCCTTTTTTAATCTTTTGTTGGGGGCACGGGTGGCCCAGTCGTCTAAGGCGCCGTGATTCGCTGTGCAGAGTTGTGTCCCTTGGGCACGCCAGAAACCTATGATTGTGGGTTCGATTATGTTTCTAGGTTTGTCAGCACCATACCCATGCTCGTGGGTTTCACCGAAGTGGTAAACGTCTGAGACCTGCATCACTTCGGGCTTTCCTCCCACATTAAGCTGATACGCCGCGATATAACTGGAATACTGTTAAAAGCGGCGTGAAACCCAACTCACTCACTTATCTTTTGTTTTACAGAATTTCTTTTCAAAAAGGTTTGGGCCGAAATTAAAATGAAATTTGAAGTATGTGTTTTTTTAAGTTCTCGTTATACAAGAACGTTAGAAGAAGACATTTATTAATGAGACATGAATAGGTTACTACCCTGTCCATTTTGTCCTACTTTATTTATTTTTTATTAAAATTGGTAAACCACATACTCTTTCGTGCCATAACTTTTTGGGTATCCGTAAAGCAAATACTTTTTGTCTCAAAGTATGTGTGACATGACCCTTTGGAAACTTGGTTCTGTGTTTCGGCAGTGTCTATTACCAGATCAGGGGCGGTCGGGTAGCCTAGTGGTTAAAGCGTTCACTCGTCACGCCGAAGACCCGGGTTCGATTCCCGACATGGGTAAAATGTGTGAAGCCCATTTCTGGTGTCCCCCGCCGTGATATTGCTGGAATATTGCTAAAAGCGGCGTAAAACCATACTCACTCACTATTACCAGATCATGTTTGTGAATTTGGCTTTAAAATAGGTCGACAGCAACCTACATTCATGTGCTGTATTAAATTTCACAACATGGCCGCCGTATAAACTGCATTGATTGTGAGCACAGAGGAATCTAAATTACATGAGAAAGAAGCTTACTACTTACCTGAAATTTTCATTATTTTATAATGCAGCCATTTGCCAAAAGTACATGTCTCATTCTCTTTTGTAACTGGCATACCGTATTCGACGTAATAAGCGCCCATTGCGATATTTGCTAATATATTGGCTAGTGAACAATCCCAATTAGCAACCCTTCCGATTGATCAATGTACACAAGACTTATTTATTTCGTATAATACTCACTCGTGTGTTATATGCACCCTAATTATGGGCAATTAAATTCTGGAAACATATCTGTTGTATATAAACATTTCAGGCTGTCAGCATAAACCAGGAAATTTATCTTTCAACTCTGTTTTTTCACCAAAATGATATTCTAATAAGAGCCCTATATTTGTAATTTTGAGAGTGCGCTTATTACGTCGAATAGGGTATTATATGTTGAAGCAGGATCACTTGGGGTACATGGGGTTTAGCATCCCCCGTTAGGTTTTATACCATGAGCTGGAGACAAGTAGTATAAAACCTAATGCGGGACGCATAAAACCCCATGTACCCCGAGTGATCTTGCTACAACGAATATATCTTGCCAACATGTTTTAATATGACATTGTAATTGAATTTAAAACAAATTCAAAATGGATAGAAACAACTGTTTGATAGAGGGGAGGTTTGCTTATGCTGTCACGTAAACTCCATTGCCTCGAAAAAAGCGTGCAGCTTTTTGCTTGGATTATCTTGGAGACTGATTGCCTGTCAATGTACCCTTAACGCGTGGATCGCTGCTCATAATATCAATCCCTGGTTATAATAACAGTAATAAGTGCACTAACACCGGTAATGCGCCAAATTCCATTTGTCAAGTGAATGTTCACAGCGCTTTGATATTATTACCCTGGGGAGTATACAGTCCTACCTGGCTGTGAGGTGCTAGAGGGTGAACAGTCACATTACCATCGGTTTCTACCGGGTACCCATACACTGCTGGATGAACAATAGCATATTTTGAACTAAGTCACTTGATAAACTAACAGTTTTCGTCCACTAGTCCTTATAATGATAACATGTAGCAAAACCCTTAAAAAGGGCAAATCTCTACTAGTCCTTATGATACCTTTACCATTGGGCAGTTTGGCTAGGACTACAGGACTAGTGCCAGTTTCTAACGCTGCGTGTGCTTCAGTGTGGGGCAGGTCTCCAGACTTTATTACTTGCAGGCTACCTTCAGGCCACCTTTGTGTAGCTATGTTGTTGCTGTGTAGTATTGAACAACAAACAACAATGATGTTAAGCTGTCTTATGTTATTGAGTCTCTCGGATCAACTAGCTTGTGCCTGTACCTCAGTAGGTCTTGTGCTCAGCTGGTGGCCATTGGTGGCGGAGTGGTTGAGCTTTGCTGAAGAGCTGGGTTTGATCCCCCACATGGGTACACCCCCCCCTGCCCCACACAGCCCCCCCTCCCAGAGCCCCCCAGCCCCACCCCTCACACAGCCCCTCACACAGCCCCACCCCCTCACACAGCCCCTTCCCCTCACACAGCCCCACCCCCTCACACAGCCCCGACCCCTCACACAGCCCCACCCCCTCACACAGCCCCTTCCCCTCACACAGCCCCACCCCCTCACACAGCCCCCCCCTCACAGCCCCCCTCCCCCCACAACCCAGCCCCCTCTCCCCCCCCTCCCACACACACACACACACACACACACACACACACACACACACACACACAGCCCCACCCCTCCCCAAGGTGTTGTGCCTGGACCATTGCTAAAAGTGGCACAAAACTCATTACTTGATATCTTTAAACAGTCTGTCAGTATTATTATTATTATTATTATTTAT